ATGACTAGGAGTATGCGCAAATGCGCACGCGTTGCGTTTACGTTCAGTCGTGATTTCATGTCATAAGGGGTCTATACAGACCTATAAGGGGCAATAAATAAATGAAGTCACCTAAAATGTAAGGATTTTCAACCCTTTTCTTTTGTCACTACTATGTCACCAGCATTGAGATGTAAGCCTTTTTTCTGTGTCACCAGTAAAACTGCATGCCTTTTTTCTGCGACTCTTATGGTTTCGGTGTGACTTATATTGATTAAAAGTTGATAAAATTTATTTTTCGACGAATTTACAAGAAAAGTACAGAACAGAGATAAACTCGATATTCGAGATGCAAATTGTGTTGGGGACGGGGCGATACTACATCCCAATCTATCATAACCGATCTGGCTGAAGTGAGTCAAAGTTGCTAAGACAAAATTGTGTAGCGTAGTGTTATGATCTATGTTTGACGTTTTACATTTGAAAAGTGTCAGACGAAAATCTTAAATATGTTCTAAAATGTTTGCCCTTTTCAAAATCATTTTTAAATTTTGTAAGAAAAGAAAATTGTTAGAAGTATTTCAGATTTTTGATATTTAATCGTTATTGAATTGGCCTAAATAAAAGAATGATATAATTTCGGCTATTTGTAAGTCTATTTTCTAAATATGCATATGCTTCTGAAATGTAGTCATATTTCACAAAATTTCGTAAGCTACTTGCCATACACTCTTTATCTAGCAACCAAAATTTTAATTCTTGGCAATTATTCAGAAATACTTTGATTTTGAAAGTAGCAAAAGATTTTGACCATCTGTTTCCAAACACAAAATAGATACTAGATACTAAACGCAAAATTGTCAACACTTGTTAAGAGGTATCACAGCATCGAATCGAATGTTCTACAGGCATGGTCATAGGAAAGCATTCATTTGCACTGCATGTATATTTGTGTATTCCGAAATGCACATAGTTTTAAGTTTCTTTCTTCTAAAAATTAAGACCCCATGCCAGTGATGATTACCACTATGAAATACTTTTCTCGACTTTTCTCCGACGAGTACAATTTTGAGTTTGTAATGACATCAGAAAACTACCTTTTTCGGTTGAGAACTTAAGATCCCAACGGAGACGCTTGGCATAAACTGTAGCCGACACATGGCGACATATTTCTACAGAATAACATATACAAAATACTCACATGAAAACATCATTTTTTGCAAAAAGCTAAAGATAAAAGCCCCCCTCCCAGCCCCCTAGCCCGTAGTGCCTGTGAAAATCAAAGGAATGTCCATCAATTAGTAAATTTTGCTGAAATTTTAATGCGGCTGTCCGCCCTATTTGTAGAAAAAGTTGGCAAGCCATCCTTAATTGGCCAAGAAGTCTGGAAATTTGCCACTGAAACACCACTACGTGACAAAACAAAAACACCTCGGCTTTGCAATAAATTTTTTCAAGGGGATCTCACACTCTCCACACCCAACCATGCGCTGGCCTTGTCTGTATGGGTTCTTAAAAAATTGTATAATAGTTAGCGGATAGTTAGTTGACAAATTTTAGAAGGATAATTAAGAGCACAAGCTTTTAAGTCGTTTTTGCAAATTACGAAGAATTTTCATGGGATATGAAGCCAGCCCTAACCCCCACCATCTATTTGACACTTTTAGAGCCTAGAGGACATTTACTTCAAAAATAAAGTTTGCACCGATAAAGAATTTTCATCCAGAAAAGTTAAAAAAAGAGCCCAGGAACACCTGTTTCCATTTCTGATAGAAAAGAATGACAAGAAACATGGTTTTTGTGGTTTCATAACCGTTTTATATACAAACCTATCGCTTATAAGCAAAAACTTCTGTTAAGACAACATAGAAGCTATAAATATGTGTTTAAAAAACAGACAAGATTCATGGTGCAGGTGAAACCATAATATATATAGAAGTAACATAGAAGACCGTGTTGAGTGATGCAGCATGTGCCATTACTGCCGAGACACAGCCTTACTAGCCTCTAGTTTACTTTCGTCACTAAAGACATAGCCGAAACACACAACAAAGATAAAGGTGAAGACTAGCGTTGAGGATTAGCATTGAGACGAGGAGGAAGACGAGGACGAGTCAAGGACAAAGACAAGGCAAAGACAAGGACAAAGACAAGGACAAGGACAAGGACAAGGACAAGGACAAGGACAAGGACAAAAACAAAGACAAAGACAAGGACAAGGACAAGGACAGGGACAGGGACAGGGACAGGGACAAAGACAACGACAAAGACAAGGACAAGGACAAGGACAAGGACAAGGACAAGGACAAAGACAAAGACAAGGACAAGGACAAGGACAAGGACAAAGACAAGGACAAGGACAAAGACAAAGACAAGGACAAGGACAAGGACAGGGACAAGGACAAAGACAAAGACAAGGACAAGGACAAAGACAAAGACAAAGACAAAGACAAAGACAAAGACAAAGACAAAGACAAGGACAAGGACAAGGACAAGGACAAAGACAAGGACAAGGACAAGGACGAAAACGAAGATGAGGGCAAAGACGAGGATGAAGACAAGGACGAGGGCGAAGACGAGAACGAAGACGAAGACGAGGACAAAGACGGGGACGAAGATGAAAACGAGGAAGAAGACGAAGAGGAGGACGAGGACGTGGACGAGGACGAAGACGAAGACGAAAACGAAGATGAAGACGAGGACAAGGACGAAGAGTAAGAGGAAAATGGAGATGAAGACAAGGATGAAAACGAATGAGAGCTGAAATTATCTGCTGTATGAAAGTGCTCCTAATAGATTAATTTGGACAGTTCGCACTGAATGCTTTGTTCTTGCCGTTCTGTGAACTTCTTGCGTTCGGTAGGCAATAGATGCTTTGAAAAACGCTAATCAAGTTAAATCTTATCAGGGTTAAATCTGTTGTAGAATTTGATTTTATCAAGGGTTTTAGTTTTTAGCTTAATTGCATTATTCTCATTTTGGTGTCAAGTGTAGTCATTGCCTCTCTCTCTGTGCAAAAGTACTGCTTGACTGACATTGTACTTTTATGTAAATTAACTTTCTTTCTTGTTATCTTTGTCTTTTGGCCTTCTTTTCTAGTTTCACTTAAAAGCAAAACTCGGAAATTTTTGTCTTTCTTGCGTCTAAGCTTTTTTCACGGCATTAAATATGCAGTTGAAGTTGAGGTGCTATTTTGGAGGCTTTGATACCACGATTCAATTAATATAGAGGTTCAGAAATGAGAAACTTTGGGGACTAGGTCTTGAGCTAAGACCTTTATAAAAAGTTGTGCAATGAATATTCGTGTAATGGGGATAAGTCGAAAGTTATGACGACTTATACAACTCTTACGTCACATATTTTTCTAGTTATATTCAGAGGGGGGAAGATATTTGGGTTGATTCGCCCCTTTCACACAATCACCGACCCGACACCACAATGCTTTCATAAATCATGACCATCAACAATAGGCAACTTGCGCTTGACACCATGACATAGTGTCTGAAGTTTTTTGCAATAGCACGGACAAACTTTGTTCAGAATTGACCCAGACATGGATTCCATTCTTTAAAAGGAAATGACAGTAATTTCTTTGGACTAGCCTGAGTTCCAGACCTCAAACTTAAAGTATTAGGGCTCAGGCTACTTTGGACTTGCTCCATATTTTTGGGGGATCCAGTTCCTCCCCCCATCCACCGGGACTAACGGCCCTGCTGATAGCTATGGGTATGGGTAACGCTTTATGAAAATTAATTTATAAAAGCAAGAAAATCAATAATATGCTTGGTCTAATTAGGAAAAACATGAAGCTAAGAAAATACTCGATTTAGAAAAAAATTGTTTTCAAAACTAAAGAATCATTATAACAGTTTAAGCTTATTCTTCTAAAAGCGATTTTTGTCACTTCCAATGTCACCAATCATATTTCGTTTCCAAAGACGCCCTTAGTCATTTTTAAAAGATATATCCCTAAGACTTGGCACAAAGTTTGAGTCAGGGATGGCGTGGAGGGGGGATCAGAGTGTTCGGGGGGCTGAGCCCCCTTGTTAAAATTCAGAGAGATTTCGGGGAGGCTTAGGCATCCTTAACAAGCCAGTGTATGTTGGGTTTGACGAATTACTTACCTGACGAATGTGAACAAACCCTTTATTATGCTGTTGATTTTCCATGAATGAGCAATTTCCTTTCAGCCTTTTAGTGTATGTAAAAAGCATAGCTCGTGCCACAGGGGGTGGGGTGGCCATGGCCGCCCACTTTTTAAGGGGGTAAGAAGCCTTGGCGCCCTACCCAGCTGCAGTAAAAGGGGTAAGAAGCCTTGGCGCCCTATTATTTCTAGCCTTGGCCCCCCACTTTCAAATTCATGGCGCGGGCCCTGAAAAGATTGAATGATTTAATATTCACTCAGGCACGGGTGTCGCTTCTAGAAGATTCCGACAGCACAGCGCCCTCTCCTAAATTTTTTAGGACGGCACCCCTTGTTTGAGTAAATTTTCTGTTTGGCTTTAGGGCTGAAAGTTATTCCTGTGTGTACAACACCGTGCACTCGCTTTTATAACAATGGTACACTTTCTTATTAACAAACATATGGAAAAGTGTTGTTCCTGGTACAGTCAGTGATGCCATTTGTACGAGTTTATTTGCAGGACTGCCTTGCCGTCCTAAAAAGTTAGAAGGGGACTGTGCTGCAGGCACCTTCTAGAAGCCATTCCCACAACTACAATAAAAATCCTTGCATTTGTGTTCAAATTCTCTGTTGTGTATCAGGCACCGTGCAGCCATTGGGCTAGCAAGGGCTATAGCCCCTACTCACTTTTTTGCAATTTTGTGGAAAGTTCAATCTAAAGAAATACTGAGAAGTTTACTCTAACGGATCCTAAGTAGTAGCAGTTCTTCTTGACTGGGAACCCTTTCCTTGTCCGTTTTCTTGGTGCTTCGTCTTGCTTAATGGTATGCAGGCGCGCAACTACGGGGGGGGGGGGTCCTGGGGGTCCAGACCCCTGCCCTTTTTCTCAAAAGGGGAAAAATGCCCTTTTTCTTGGATAATTGCTTGAATATTTTGGTTATTAAGCTAAAATGGTTGGTCATACAGTAAATGACACACTCCGGAGATGTAATGGACCTGGCAGGAATACAGATAAATGATTTAGTCAAACTTTCACGCACTTGTTGGGTCGAACGTCATCATGTTGCAGTAATACACGCTTTTTTTTTTATAAGGAACCTAGCTCGGGCCTAGTTCTTTAAATTCCTTATTTTGAGACCTGTTTTGACCACTTTGTAGTTCTAAAAGTTCCTTAATAGTTCCTTAATTTTAAGTTGGCATTTAGTGGACAATAATTAGTACAGACGCAAGAAAAACAATCAAATTCAGCGTTTTGCTATAAACTTAAGAAAAGATAACAAGTTAAAACACAAAGAAGCTTCATATAATATAAAATTAATAATAATAGTCATTAAAGAAGTTGCATATCCACTCCATTGATGTCGTCTGACACAATGTAGTCTTCAGTACCGTCTTCGAAAAGAACTCTAAACTCTCCCAGCTTGGTGTTGAACCACTTCACTTGTCCAGTGTGCCATTCGTCGTAGAATGCGCGTATTTTTTTATTAATCAACTCATGTTCGTAGACACGATATTTTACATGGTCTACTCTTTCATGCTCAAGCTCGTCAGGCTCAAGTTCTTCATCCCCTTCATCTTCTTCATCACTTACATCTTCCTCACAGGCTGCTGAGGCCTCTGGTATTTGTACAGACAGTGGATTTTCGGGGCCAGTCACAGGCAATGGTGGTGGTATTGAGTACCCAATCAGACCTTCAGGCTGAATTTTCTTGTCCTCCGACCCATCAGCCGTTATTAAGCAGCCTGTCTTTTCAAAGCATCTGTACCGTGATGAGGCATAGCTCTCACTGGAAAGCCTATTGTATGCCTCACCAACCCAGTGTGTAATTAGAATTCTTCGCTTCTTGACATCCAGTTTTTCAACACTGTTCCCAAGCCAAAGATCTATATTTTCGTCACTTTGCAGCCACTCATCTTGGAGGGTTCGAACCAAAGACTTCAGCATGTTTCCAAAGCCACAATCTACAGGTTGCCAGATGTCTGTCGCACCGGCCAAACCGAACCAAACAACACCATTTAATTTTCTGACCTTACTCAGAAACAGATCATTAGTTTGCGCACTTAAGTTGTCGCAGAAAAGAACGAATTCTTCATTTTCACCTGTTTCGGAAGAATTTTGGACAGCTGGTTTCAGAGTTCTCTTCACCCAGTCGATGCTGAAATTGATGTCTGCCCAGGCGTTTGTCTGCCAGTAAACATCCACGTCTTTGTGGTATGCCTGTATTTCATCCTGGCTGATTCTTTTCCCTGTTCCACGGAAAATAATTGCAATTTTGACTGGCGGTCCTTCGGCTGCAAAGCAGATTTGTAACGTGCACTGCCGCTTATCAAGTCCCGGTCCCGGTGTGCTGAAAAAGAATTAAAGATAGCAATTTTAGAAGGAGTGGACAAATGAGCAGCCCCCCAATTTTTATAATATTTCCAAATTAATTTTTTAAAAGGCCCAGTCTGGAAAGAGTTTAAACAAAAAGCAGAAAGCGGTTTACCTGACCCAGGTTCGATGGTTTCTTTGTTCTCCGCGCGGAAAGTGTTTTTCGTATGTTGTTTTACAATCGACCGCAAACGGCATAGGAACTTGGTCAACGTTGAAGCGTTTAGATGGTCGGAATCTCCCCCATTTGCTGTCATAGGAAGGCTTTGCGTTTCCTGTCTTGATCAAGCCTTCGCGCAAAGTTGTGTGCCAACCAATCATGCCTGGCAAGAATCTCGTTTTCTCAGCCCTTTTCTTACGCTGAATTCTCCTCAACTTGATTTTGTACTTCCTGATAAAGTTGAAGACTGCAGATTTCGGGATAGCTTTAATATCTGATTGGGCACTTTGGTCGAATTCGGGGTTAATCTTCCTAGCATTTGCGTACAGCCATGCAAAAGATATTCGCATCCCCTTTGATCTTGCTTGTAGGAACTTTTCGTGAAGCATCACGAAGACTTGCTTATGCCTTGTGCTGGGTCTGATCTTTTTCATCATTTTCCTGTGGCTATCGGCGGCTGCATCAGTAATTTTCTTCTCATTTTTAACCCAGGTCGATACCATCGATTTAGAGATGTTGTATTTGAATGCAACGTCATTCTTTTGGTTTTTCTTTGCTTCCTCGATAACTTTTAGCTTAAATTCGGTGTCATAAGATAGTCTGTTCTTCTTCTCTCGATGGTGCTGACTGCTTTCTCCTGCTTCTGACGCTCTAGCACTTTTCTTTATCTCTTGACATTCCTCTACAGTTTCTTTGATGTTCTCATCCACATCAATAGCAGTTGGTTCTTTTTGTGGCTCAACAGCCTCGGCGCTACTTTCCAAGATCAATGGAATTTCATCGATTTTTTTAGTTGGTTGTTCTTTTTCTCTCTCACTGTCTTTTTTCGAAGTGCACCAAGACACGTGCATCGTAAGGCCAGACTTACTTTTGAAATGCTTGTTGCATGTGTCACAACGATACAAACTTACATCATCATCCTCAACAAACGAACGACCAGGGACTTCTTGTAACTCATTTCGATGAGGTATCTTTTTAGAAAAACCGAACTTGAACAACGTTGACTGCTTTTTCTTATCTCCCATATTGCAACTGTAATACTCAGCCACACACACAGAATAAGAATTCTATTTTGTTGTGACTAACCTATTTGACTAAAACTAAAACACCTAAAGTGTGAATTCACAACAAAGCACAGCTGCATGTGAGGTGAGTTAAAACGGAAATTTCTCATGTTGATTCTTGGCCCCATGAGCATGGCCGGTTTTACTGAAAATCAATGGAACCGGCTTCCTAATTGTAAATTGTGCGGAAATATAAATATATTCAAAATTAAAAAGTTCCTTAGGGATTTGGCCTTTAGTAGTAAAAGTTCCTTAAGTTTTTTGACCTTCTACATGTAGGTTCCTTATAAACGGTTCCTTATAAAAAAAAAAGCGTGTAGAGTCTATCTTCAAGCCCCAACTCTACAGCGTGTTTTATGATGCGCTACGCACTGGCTTTGAAGAAGGATGGCTCTGGGACGCAAAAACCAAATAAAGGCACAAGACTTTGAACGGAATGGGGGCTCTACGACCTCTGGTAAAAAGTTACAAGAAAGAAACCAAGACATTTTTCAAGCCTGTCACATAGTTTACAGGATCATGGAGGACCTTTGCATGAAACGAGCGAATGCAGAGAAATATTTTCGGACTGGTATTAGCAAGCAGTAAAGATGGCACAAAAAGTTGATGTTCAGCTGTTACGTTCCTTGTCAGTATTACAAATCAGCTGAAGGCAAGACTTGGAGACAGAAGCTGAAGTCAAGGCTCGCGGAACTGTTCAACCTCCTCCCATCTGTAGTGCGAAGCAAAGAATTCAATAATAATATTTTAAAGCGCAAAATGTCTTTGGAAATGGAAGATGATGGGCTGCTTTTCAAAAGTGAGCTGGCGCTGGGAAAAGGAGATGACAGCAGGGTCGCCGAGAGGTGAACAAAGGGGCAAATTGCCCTAGGGCCTCGAGGTCTAGAGATCCTCATAAAACAATGAATTCCTTTTTTAAATGGAATTTATTCAAAGTAACAAAATTACACTAAACAAGTAAAAATCTTAAACAAATTAGTGAATTTAAGCTATCTGCAAGGGTGTGGTGGCAAAATTTTTGCTCGCTTCGCTCGCAAGAGGCATTGTTTTTCCGTCCCTCCTATCTCATCCCCCTAGGGCCTCCTAAACTTCTC